TCTGTCTCAGTCGTGGAACCTCTTATTTCTGGCTTGCGCTTCAGCTCCCAGCCTGTTGCAGAGGTTGGCTGTCCGGGTTCAACCTCCAGGATGCTTCAGGGCTGGCGCCTCAGGAGTCTCTGTGTAACCTGGCTTGTTTCCATGGCAAACTGACCCGGGGGCTGGGGGGTGGGGGGTGATGCAGGAAGCCGGTGGGGGTGCGAGCTGCTAACTGGGACCCGAAAGGGCGAAAAGGGGACTTGGGGCCGAAGAGGCTGAAATGCAGACGGGCAGGATCCCAGTTCCACGCGGAGCTCCCTGGGGGTTTATTTCTCCTTTCAAAAGAAATATTATGTGATCTTTTTTAATTAAAAAATTTAATACATAATCTTTGTAGAAAACGCTAAACTTCGAAAACACTATTGCAAAAAGAGTAACAAAATAAAGTCTCCCACAGTCTCAAGCCCAGAGGTAGTACAGGCAGCCGTGGTGGTGCTTTTCTTCCTGCTCCTCACTCAGGAAGGCAGTATCCCAGCCTTTTGGGCGTATCACATATGATTAGAAGATTAGGAACAAATACTTCCAAAGATCGCCTGAACTGAGCAGCCCACTCCCCCACTGCCACCCCTACCCAAGTCCTCTTGGCAGCTGCAGGACTCTTCCATGGGTCCCACTGGTCTACCACAGATGGCTGGGTACCCTCTCCTGGCATGTCTGTCGCACCCACGTTTCCAAAGCTGGTTGGTGTTCCCTTGTGGAATTGGAGAAAGCAGCCACTAGGAGTTACTTGGGTCCCAGTGGTTGGGAGGAATACATGGCAGGCCCTGCCAGTTGCTGCAGACCCAACCCTGCCATTCAGGAACTCATTCCCTCTTGCAACTGAAAGGCCGGAGGGGGCCAGAACTAGCATGCGGAAACAATGTCACCAGGCTGCCGTCTCTCTCCATCTCACAGAGCTGTCAGGGATTTCTTGTGGGGCCAGAGTCTACCACATAGTGCCTAGTGGTAGGTATTCAGATAAAATTTGTTGAATGAATGAATCAAAGTGAATGAATGGTTGTTGGCAGCAGCAGGATCACAGTCTCACAGTTTAGCAAGTTTAGCTGAAAGAGCATTTAGTTTCCTAGAGGTGGAGTATATGGAACCGTTGTTGGGAATGTAAAATGGTGCAGCAACTTTGGAAAACATTCTGGTAAACTGCATGAAAAGTCAAACCATTCACTTACCATACAACCCGGGAATTAGTTCCACCCCAAGGTTTCTATCCAACAGAAATGAAAACACATGTCTGTGTAGAGACTACACGAATGTCCATAGCAGTGTTACTGGTAATAGCCCCAAACTGGGAACAATCCAAATGTCAATCAAATGGTGAATAGATAGGCAAAATGTTGACTACCTATGTAATTGGGTAATATTCAGCAATAAAAAGGAGTGAACTACTGAAACATGCTACAATGTGGATGAACCTCAAAAGCATTATAATAAGTGAAAAAAAACCAGATGAACATGGACACAGATTGTATGATACATTTAAATGAAATGTCCAGAAAACAAAAATGAGATATCACCTTACACCTGTCAGAATGGCTATCATCAAAATCCCCACACATAACAAATGTTGGCCAGGATGTAGAAAAAAGGGAACTCTAGTAGCAGTTTAGTAAGACAGAAAGTCATGAGGATATTCATGTACTTTGATACAGTCATTTCACCCCTTAATATTGTTTTCAAGTCAACAGTCTAAAGAGTAAAGAAAAGCTTTCGGCAGAAAGATTCATACTGTTTATCATGGCAAAGAAACTGGAGCAAACTCAATGTTGGAACAAGAGGAGAATACTTAATTAAATGATGGTGTGTATACTGCAGTCATAAAATTAAAAGACACTTGCTCCTTGGAAGAAAAGCTATGACATACCTAGACAGTGTATTAAAAAGCAGAGACATCATTTTGCTGACAAAGGTCTGTATAGTCAAAGCTATGGTTTTTCTAGTAGCCATGTATGGATGTGAGAGTTGGACTATAAAGAAAGTTTAGCACAAAAGAAGATGCTTTTGTTGTTGGGTTTTTTTTTCATTTATTTTTATTAGTTGGAGACTAATTACTTTACAATATTGTAGTGGTTTTTGCCATATATTGACATGAATCAGCCATGGATTTACATGTAGTCCCCATCCCGATCCCCCCTCCCACCTCCCTCCCCTTCCAATCCCTCTGGGTCTTCCCAATGCACCAGCCCCTAGCACTTGTCTCATGCATCCAACCTGGGCTGGTGATCTGTTTCACCCTTGATAGTATACTTGTTTCAATGCTATTCTCTCAGAACATCCCACCCTTGCCTTCTCCCTCAGAGTCTAAAAGTCTGTTCTGTACATCTGTGTCTCTTTTTCTGTNTGTGTGTGTGTGTGTGTGTGTGTGTGTGAATGTGCATGCGTTCTTAAAGAAAAAGATTATTCATGACAGTTGTTCAAATAGTAAGCAGAATTTATTGAGAACTACTGTGATAGATGGACTTCCCAGGTGGCTCAGTGGTAAAGAATCTGCCTGCCAAGCAGGAGATGCGGGTTTGATCCCTGGCTCAGGGAGATCCCCTGGAGAAGGAAATGGCAATCCACTCCAATATTCTTGCCTGGAAAATCCCATGGACAGAGGAGCCTGGCTGGCTACAGTCCATGAGGTTGCAAAAGTGTTGAACTTGACTTAGTGACTAAACAATAACAACATTGTGATAGGTATTGGAACTTCTGTGATAGCATTTGGCAGCAGAGGGGAGAGATTGGGCTCAACTCTGAATACAAGGGAAAGCTGGGGGTTTATAGCCAAGGGCAGAGTGGGCTGGCTGGGAGATGCGGCAGTGGTAGTGGTGCTGGCGGTGTGTTTGTCAGTGGAAAGCTACTGGGAGAGTTGGGTAATTCTTTGCTAACAGGATTGTTGCTGAAAGCAGGCCAGAGTGATCAGGTATCATGTGGAGGATGAGGAAGTTAATCAGGTATCAAGGGTGGGTGATTCTGGATAAACTAAATTAGTAGGGTTCTAACTAAAACCAAAAAATGCAAAAAATGACACGGAAGTCCAAGAGTCAAGGCCCAGTTGGGAAGAGGATTCAGAAGAGCCTAAGTAAAGTTTGGTCCAGGAGAGATTTTGTCAGTGGGTACACAAACATATGTATGATTACTGAGATAGGGCTTCCCAGGCGGCTCAGTGGTAAAGAATCCGCTTGCCAATGCAGGAGACACAGGATGTGTGGGTTCATTCCCTGGGTCGGGAAGATCCCCTGGAGTAGGAAATGACAACCCACTCCAGTATTCTTGCCTGGGAAATCCCGTGGACAGAGGAGCTGGGTGGGCTACAGTCCATGGGGTCGCAAAAGGGTTGGACAACTCTGCGACTAAACGACAAACAGCAGAGATAGAAAAAAGGTGCGAAAGGAGATACGGAAGACTGTTATCAGAATTTCTGCATTTCTAGGGCACAATGCAGTAGCAGTACTACCAACAGCAAGGATGTCTGTGGGCAAAGGTCTGACTCAGATGTCACCTCCTCAGGAAAGTCCTTCATGAATGTCACTTCCTCAGAAAAGTCCTTTCTCCCTGAGCATTCTAAAGTTGTATGCTGTTCCCTCACCCCCAGCTATCACCCTCTCCAATTTTTGTTTTCTTAAAAGTACCTCACAGTATGTGAAAGTATCTTCTAAATGAATTTATTTATCTCATTTTTGGCTGTGCTGGGTCTTTCTTGCTCTTCTCAGGCTTTCTCTAGTTATAGCAAGCCCAGGCTACTCTTTAGCTGCAGTGCACTGGCTTTTCACTGAGGTGGTTTCTCTTGTTGTGGAGCACAGGTTCTAGGCATAGGGGCTTCAGGAGCTGGGGCCTGCAGGCTTAGTTGCTCTGAGGCATGTGGAATCTTCCACAAACAATGACTGAACCCTGATCCCCTGTATTAGCAGGCAGACTCTTATCCACTCTACCACCAGGGAAGTCCAAAATGGATTTATGATTTCTATTAATATTTCCTTACCACTGGAATAGAAACTGCTCACCTAGAATGTCCTCAAGCACAATGAAGGTGAGGTTTGTTGACTGACAGTTGTTCACTGAATCAGTAGCTGTGGACTCACCTTACACATCAGTCCATGCCATCTTCAACCATTTCAGGCAAGTATCATTGTCCCCCTTTAACAGACCCCACAACTGAAGTTCACAGTGGTTTAGACTTTTCCAGGACCACATCTAGTGGGTGAAGCCAGGATTTGGTTCCCAGCTCACCGCCTTTCCCTCAGTACCCCAACTGTTGGCGATTAGGATTCGGATCCAAAGTAGTCAAGCATCTTTTCCCCCAGTTCCCGACCTGCCTTTGTTTCTGGCCATTCTCCTCCCCCAAGAGCCACCCCACTTTTCAGTTGGCTGCCATGAAGATGGCTCCCGATTTGGGAATAGATTACTGGGCCTCCGGAAACAAGAGACTGCAGTGAATTGGAAGGGAGGGAAGTGAGTAGGGGAACCCCGCAAGAGAGGGCAGTGCAGGCAGACCCTTCCTTGCACACCTTCACCCCTGACCTCCACCTCCTCTCTCTGCGGTCCCGGGTCTTGGCCCAGAGTGCACCTGGGCTTTTCCCACACTTAGTCTGCAGAGGTCTCGGGGTCGCCACCCTCCTAGCTAGGGAGAAAACTCAGCTGGATGCACCCTAGGAGGCCTCTCGCCAGAGGCCTGAGCTTCTCCCAGAGCTTGTGGGAAGACCGGGCAGCCTGGGCACCTTTGGGTATCCTAGGGCCACCCTATCCCCAGCTGTGGTCTCTTGCTTCCTCTCGATCATTCTGGAACTCATGCACACTTCAGCTTTCCGAGGCATTGGGGCCAGTTGGGAGAGGAAAGGAAGGGCGGATGGGTGTGAGTGAAAATAGAGGGTTTGTGTTTTGGGGTGTTTGATACTCTGTCATCTCATGGTTTGGGGGAATGGTGTGTGTAGATATGTGTATGTGCCCGCCTGTCTGACCTTTGTTATCTGTTCTCCCTGTAGAAAGAAACAATCCATGACTGCTGACATCAACCAGAAATTTTGGTTTGTACCGCGACATTTCCCCGACTTTATTTGGGAGTTGTTACCAAGTCACTTTCTGCGCTCAAATATTTTGTGAATATTTTGGGGAACATCTCTGCATTATCCCATGAGTTTGCTCATCTGTGTGGAACAGGATGTCCCGGGAGTGGGACCGCAGCCCTCCAGCCGCTGTCTTTGAGGAGGGGTTGCCTTGGAACCCTGGGGGTAAACCTCCCTCTTCATGGCCCCTCTGATGATTGGGCCTGGGGTTGTGGGTTTGGGGGAGCCTGGAAAGTAGAGACACCCTTGGTCGCGCCTTCTGCATGTAGGAGCCTCTGCATCCCTTTTTGTTCTTGGCCGTCTACAGGTTGGTGGGTGGGCTCGAGTTCCCCTGGGAATGAACCCAAGGAGGGCCCTGAGGGGAACGTGGGTGCCCCAGCCCTGGCTGGACAAGTGAAAAACCAATCTGTTTTTGTTCCTGTTCACAAGGCATTCAAAACCCCCAAGGTGTCCATTTCCATTGTCTATCTCCAGCCAGAGCCCCGAGCCCCACGTTCTCTCTGCTCCTCTTTGCGTCTGGATAGCACAGGGAGGACTCTGGGTTTGGCTGCTGTGGCCAGCGGACCAGGCTCTTGGGCGAGGCTGCTACAAGGTCTGCAGAACTCCTGCCAGCTCCAGGTGGACATTCTCTGAGATGCTGTCATTTCATCTGGACAGCTGGCCCGTGAAAGCCAAGGGAGGCCGTCTGGGTTCCTGTGTGGCTTTCCTGGGCAGGGCAAGGCAATGCCCAGCAAAGGCGTCATCATCAAAGTTTTCTTTAGGCCTAGAAGACAACTCGGATGGTAACTTGTATCCCGAAGAACAACAGGCCCAGGTGCTCTCAGGCAGAGCCGGGACTCACAGCAGGTGTTCAGACAGCGGCCCAGCTTGTCAGGAGCCCGGCCTGGTCTCTTCACTGCCCCACTTCTCCCAGAGTTCCATGATTAGGTGAGGATGGGTCTCCTTCAGGGCTTGGTAAAGACGATCTTTGCAGGCCCAGTCCCAGGATCGGCTGAACCCAAACAGCTTCCGCATCTGGCCTGGTGCGGTGGCCTCTGCCCGCACCCCCTCATACTGTTCTTCGCTCAGCACCTGTCCATGCAGCTTGTCCAGGACAGGGTCCACGGATGTCACTCGAGCCACCAGCTGCTCCCGATATCGGTCCACAAAGTGCCTCAATCTCAGGGCAGCTGGGGAGCCAGGTGAGGCTGGAAACAAACAAAGAAGGGCTCGTACCACCATCCCTTCCTCTGACCCTCCATCTCTACTTCTCTTCGCTCAGCTTTTCTGCATCCCTGGCTTCCTTCTGCCCTGTAAAGGCATTTGACCACCAGAAAGCCACATTTGCCCTCCCTCACGTCAACACCTGCCCATTCTGCTTGAGCTTGGAGTGGGGTTCTTGGTGGAGGCATCTGAGGTGGTTTGGTGGGAGGTGCCAGGGCTCCCATGGGCAGGAGGAAGGGGCATGGGGTGCACAGCACTCTCCAGGGCCTGACTGCTTGTGAGATTTGTAATGAGAGTCTTTCCTTCCCCTCTTCCCAACTCTCCAGGACTTGAAAGTACACCTCAGAATTGTCACTGGCTCATGCGGTCTCTAACACCTGTTACTGACCTCTGAGGCCTGGAGGGGCCAGAGTAACTGCCCGTCTGAGATCTCCTGGAGGGAAACAGAGATGAAGAAGCATTGTAACAGTGCTGGTTATTTACACACGCGATACTTCTCTAAACTCCTACCTACTTCTGAGATTCTCTCATTCTGAGAACAAGCTATGGATAAATTCTGATAGAATCTGGAGTAAGGGCTGGAAGGGCCTTTAGAGATTATCCAGGTGAATCCCTTCCTTATGCATATGGGGAAACTGAGGCCCAGAAGCCATGATTAGACAGAGGGTGGGAGAGAGGTAAGAGGCATCCAAGTGAACAATAGCAGTTTTTCTCAGCATCCCAGACATGGGTTATCCAGTGTTGTCCTGAAGGGAACCCTGGTAGAGAACTAACCAGGGTTTAGATAGCTTAAACTATCTAAGATGTCCTTAAATAGTTTAAGGACGTCTTAAACTTCTGAACAGACATCCATCTCCTTGCCCATGTTTGGCCTTCTAGATTCACACAGATCAAATCTGTTCTGAATTTTGATGTCAGAAGATCAAGGGATTTCCCTGGTGGTCCAGTGGCTAGGACTGTGTGCTCCCAATACAGAGGGCCTGGGTTCAATCCCTGGTTGGGGAACTAGATCCCACCTGCTGCAACTAAGAGTTCACATGCCACAACTAAAAATTTGCAATGCTGCAACTAAAACTGGCCCAGCCAAATAAATAACTTTTTTTTTTTAAAGGAATCAAGAAAACCTTAGCACTTGGGAGTAATGTGATAATTTCCATAGCAAAACAACAGAAGTAACTCAAGGGGCTTAGCAAGTTACTTGCATAAGGCGAGAAAGGGGCTGTTTACAACAGCTCATGTGGACAAGGCCTGAGAGTCTGAGCAGACTCAGGTTCACTGTGACCTGATGGTGTGTGGAGGTGGGCACAGGATAGGGGAGCTCCAGCTGTGGCTTCGGGAGCATTGGGTTCGTTTGGAGGGTGGAGGAGGGGATTCCACACACCCCCCCCACCCCCCCAAGACTGGACACTCAGGGAGTCCATCCCGGCTCATCTGTAAATGGTAACATCTACCAGGAAGGTGTCTGAATGGCAAAGAATTTAAAAACCAAAATACAAGAGGAATGATGGAAGTAGAGATATTTAACTTGCATAAGAGAAGACTTAGGGGAGGCCTTGATCCCAGTCTTCAAGTATCTCTTCTTGAAGAGATACTCTTCTTGATACTTTCTCCTGGGCTCTCCCAGGAGAAACAGATTATAAATAGAAATAGATCTGTCAGCTCCAAGGGACAGAATCAAGATAGGCAAGGAAGTTGGCTTAGTACAAGGAAGAAGAATAATATTGCTACTATTTACTAGGGACCACTGGGCTTTACTATTTCCAGCTCAGATGGTAAAGAATCCACCTGCAAATGCAGGAGACCCAGGTTCTACCCCAGGGTTGGGAAGATCCCCTGGAGAAGGGAATGGATACCCACTCCAGTATTCTTGCCTGGAGAATTCCATGAACAGAGGAGTCTGGCAGGCTACAGTCCATGGAGTCGCAAAGAGTTGGACACGACTGACTGACCAACACTTTCACTTTTTACTAGGAACCACAGCATGAGACATGAACATATCTCATTTTATTTAATCTTTCCAACAATTCCACAGGTTTGGCATTGTGATCCTTACTTTACAGATGAGGAACCCAAGTTCAAATGAATTAGGTAATGTTCTTAAGATGACCCAGAAAGTAAGGGCCCTAGCTGGGGCTGGTGAGTTCTCCACCTGTGTCTGCACCCAAGCTGGGACCAAGTAAAGTCCATTCTCTTTCTCCCACACTGTGATGCCTGTGCAGCTAAGGATGGAATGTGACCAACCAACCGACAAAGGCTGGTTGTCCTAGGAAGGACTGTCCAGGAGATTTTATTTCTTGGGGATGCTGGTGTTGGATTAAGAGATTGTAAAATTTCTTCCATTCCTGAGAGTTCAATATTTGGATTTCCTTTTGCCTGCCTTGACAATAACTGAATGATCCTGGTTAGAGTATCTGATGTTGCCAGAACTGGCCTAATCCACACAACCATACAACCATCTAGCATCTAGTTCTTACTCTTTTTTTTTTTTTTTTGACCGCATGGCATGTGGGATCTTAGTTCCCAAACCAGGGATCAAACTTGTGCCCCCTGCAGTAGATGTTTGGAGTCTTAACCACTGGACCACTAGGGAGTCCCTTAGTTCTTCCTCTTTCATCTACCTTCCAAGCTTTCGTGAGAAACTGCCAAAAACCTTGTGGGTATCAAAGTCTATTCAAGGGCAGAGTGGACACACATGGTGCAAGAGAAAGTGAGCACAGGGCTTACAGTCAGGTTAACCTGAGTTCTGAAGAATTGATGCTTTTGGACTGGAGTGTTGGAGAAGACTCTTGAGAGTCCCTTGGACTGCAAGATCTAACAGTCAATCCTAAAAGAAATTGGTCCTGAATATTCATTGGAAGGACTGATGCTGAAGCTGAAGCTCCAATACTTTGGCCACCTGATGTAAAGTACTGACTCATTGGAAAAGACCCTGACGCTGGGAAAGATTGAAGGCAGGAGGAGGGGACAACAGAGGATGAGATGGTTGGATGGCATCACTGACTCAATGGACATGAGTTTGAGCGAGCTCTGGGAGTTAGTGAAGGACAGGAAANCCATGGGATTGCAAAGAGTTGGCACGACTGAGCGACTGAACTGAACTGGACTGAACCTGAGTTCCAATTCTCCTCTTATCAGTTGTTGTCACTAGGAAAAGGCGCAGAACTCCCCTGGATTATTTCTTTTCATCAGCAAGTTGTGATAATACAAACTCTCTTTCACACACACACACACACACACACACACACACACACACACACACACACATTCTTTAACTTTCTCTCGTTCCACCTCTGTGCTCCCTGGACTTGACTTTACCTGGCTTCACCAAGGCTTCCCACACCACAGTCTCATCTTTCTTGCTTCTTATTTGCAACCTGATCCCTGACCTCAAATGGCGAACGTAGAACTCAGAGAACAGCTGAGATTCTTGAGGGCTCCGATAGCAGAGCTCCAATTCCTGTAGAGAGAGAGAATCACTGCGTGAGAAGCCACCTTGCAGCCTGCCAGTAAGGTCTTTCCCCACCTGACACCTCACTTGGCCCAACTCTGACCATCTCCTGGACTGAAGTCAATCTTTAGGTCCTGCTTTTTCCTTTCTTTTTTACATCTTTATTTATTTTTGGCTGCACTGGGTCTTTGTTGTTGCCCAAAGGCTTTCTCTAGTTGTGGAGAGTGGGGGCTAGTTCCCTGACTAGGGATTGAACCTGGGCCCCCAGCACTGGGAGTGTGGAGTCTTTTTTTGGTGGGGGGGGAGGAGTGGGGGGAGTATGGAGTCTTAACCACTAGACTGCCAGGGAAGTCCTTGGTGGCTTTATTGGAGGTCATTGTCACTCTATAGCCCAACTCTTCCCAGTGTTATCCCCATCCTGAATGTGACCCTCCCCAGCTTCCTGTCTCCTACCCTTTGAAGCATTCCTGCTCACCCTAAATCTTACTTGTTTTCTGTGCTGTGCTGAGCCACTCAGTGGTGTCCAACTCTGTGACCCCATGAACTGTAGCACACAAGTTCCTCTGTCCATGGGGATTCTCCAGGAATCAAACTGGGGTCTCCTGCATGGCAGGCAAATTCTCTACCAGCTGAGCTACCAGGGAAGCCCCACTTGCTGTTTGCCCAACCCCAGTTCACCCAGTCCCTGGGAAAGCTCTGAGACCCACTCACAGGTATTTCCAAGCAAGACCTCTGAGCCCAGCAATGGCTGACCGCCTGGGCTGCTCACCTCCGGCAGTATTTCCAGCTTCTCTGAACCAGACACAGTGTAGCGGGAGCCCATGTAAAGCGGGGTCAGCGGGGGTGGTTTGTGAATTCGCACAAACTGGAACTTCTTTTCTTCATCGTCTATGGCCTGGGGAGTACAGAACAAGGATCAAAGCAGCAGATGTGTCTGGCCCCTGACTCAGATTCTGCCTACAGAACCCGGTCTGAACAAAGTGAGATGATGTTTCTGTGTGTGCGGGGGGTGATGGGGGCTGTACCCCCGCTGCTGGCTTCCCACCCCCCACCCATGCTTGGCGTCTGCTGTGCTCAGGCTGGGAATTGGCGATGTTGGAGAAGACATGGTAACAGGGGAAAAGAGACAGTTCTAAGCTCCAATACTTTGGCTACCTGATGCGAAGAGCCAACTTACTGGAAAAGACCCTAATGCTGGGAAAGATTAAGGACAGGAGGAGAAGAGGATGACAGAGGATGAGATGGTTGGATGCCATCATCAATGCAGTGGACATGAGTTTGAGCAAACTCTGGGAGGTGGTGAGGACAGGAAAGCCTGCAGTCCATGCTGTAGTCCAGGGCATCACAAAGACTTGGACATGACTTAGTGACCAAACAACAACAACAATAAGCATGGAAACCACCCATTCTTTTGACTCCTAGGAAGAGGCTTGTCCTGAGATGAGTGATGGTGTGGCAGAGTCAGCCGGAGGAGACCTTGGGGAGCCAGACTAGTCCATGGCTGGGCAGGAGCAGGACTATTTACCCACTTCAAGGTTCCTGCTTATAAGTGGCCCATCCCAATTCCCAGTTGACCCATCTAGGGGACTCTTTGGATGTGCTTCCTATTTGTTGTCAAGCCCACCCTGGCCCAACCTTTCTGACTCTTATTGCCACCTTCTGAACGGAGCAATCGCTGGGGATCAGGTAGAGGTGGAAGGTAACTTCTTCAGGCTGGAGGTAATGGTAGAGCAGCACAGTGGAGGTGATGGGAATGAAGCGCAGGGCAGTGTGGACCATCCTCAGTAGAACTCCCATGGGCGAGAAGCTGGGGTTTTCCAGGGCAGCATAACATGGCGTCACCCTGGCTGGCTTCTCCAGGAGCATCCCCTCCTCTTTGAAGTGGGCCACTTGAAACCGGGAGATGTCCACATCGTTCCCTGTCAAGGGACGGATATGAGAGGCAAGGACTTAGTACCTCACTAAATCAGACTTGGCTGGGGGAGTGACGTCCTTGACTGTAGGCTCGGTGGTCTTCCTAGGGAAGCCATCGTGCATAGGCCTGCCACCTTTGGGGGCTTCAGGCAATACTGTCTCTAGGGTGGGAGCACCACGGAAACTCCCTTTAGCCAAACCCATACAGAGGACCAGCCCCTGACCCAGGAGTTGGGAGAGCTATGGACCCTGTGGTTACTGGCTGGTGTGGAGTCTCTAACCATGAGGGCCACTGAGCGATGTGGGCGGGTTTGACTCCAGGCAGAGGGAGGACGAGGAGGAGGAAGGGACAGTGAGGAAATGGAGCAGCCAAGGGTAGTATACACTTGTCCAGTGTTTGGCCACCCACCATTCATACTCCTCTTTTAGAGAAGAACCCCTTCCCCACCAGTGTGGGGGGTCTCAGCAGGAGACAAGCTGGGCCTCCTACCCTGGAAGCTGCTATTCCCTGGTGGCTATGATGCAGGCATGTGACCAAAACTTGAGTAAGTGAATGCTCCTTACCAGGACCTGGATCTAGAGAGAATGAAGAGAGATGCTTCTGGCAGTAGCAGTGGGTCGAGTCCAGCAGCCACCATGGCAGGAGGGTCCTGCAATGTCTTTGCCTGCAGCACAGGTCTCTTCCTACTTTTGTTGGTTCTCAGCATCCTTGCACACTGCCTTTTTTTTTTTTTTTAAATGTTGCCTAATCTGTTAAGTCTACAAGTTACTCAGGAATCTTTTTATATATTCCTTTCCTGCCTAAATCAGTCAGAGTTAGTTTGCAGTCAAGAAATCTGGCAAGGTATGGACACTGATGAGTTTGAGATGAAGAGGCAGCTTGAGAGATGAAGGCTGGTAGTGGGAGAGGCACAGGCTTGGAAATCAGGGGTCCTGGTTCCATCTCTGTGTTGTTTGGCAACTGCAGCAATGCAGTGGTTTCCGGGTAGCAGAGGGACATCCAGCAAGCCAGCCAAGGCCCTTAGGCTGATGGGCACCAGTCAGAACATTGCTGACTGATTTTAATCCCAGAAAAGGCCCCCAGAGAGCACATTCATTGCTTTTTTGGGTGTGAAAATAATGTCACCATGGTATACACCATCTGACAAAATGCTGAAGAATTCACTAAATACAACTATAATTACCATCTTTCTCTTTTTCACTAGTCTTTCTTTGAAGCAACACCTTTTCATGGTTCTGTCATAGCCCATGGATTTTTTTCAATTTTTCATCATTGTGTGTCTTCCTCTTAGTATCATGGTGAGTATCCCCACCTGTCATGTGGGAGACTGGGGTTCAATTCCCCAATGGGGAGACTAGAGTACTACCTTTTGGGCCTGTTTGGTGGCTCAGATGATAAAGAATCCACCCGCAACGTGGGAGACCTGGGTTGAGAAGATCCCCTGAAGGAGGGCATGGCAACCCACTCCAGTATTCTTGCCTGGAGAATCCCCATGGACAGAAAAGGCTGGTAGGCTACAGTCCACGGGGTGGCAAAGAGTCAGACACGACTGAGCGACTAAGTACAACACAGCACAGAAAAGTCACATCTTTCAGTAATCATAGAAATTTCCTGGCAATTCTCTCTTTGAGTATTTCATCTTCTCCATTCTCTCTGCCATATCTGCTGGAATTCTGATTAGGTGTATTCTAGGCCTTCTCATAGTATCCTATCCTCCATGTCACTTAATTTTTTAAAAAATGTTTTCCTATTTTCTTTAATTAGCTTGTTTTCAAATTTGATTTATTATTTTTAATGATTTATTGCTTTTTGCTTATTTTTTCCCAGGGTGATTTCTGTAAGTATATGGTGATTTAGTCGCTAAGTTGTGTCGAATTCTTGGGACCCCATGGACTGTAACCCAACCAGAATACTGGAGTGGGTTGTCATTTCCTTCTCCAGGGGATCTTTCCAACCCAGGAATCGAATCTGGGACTTCTGCATTGCAGGCAGATTCTTTATCGACTGAGCTATGAGGGAAGCCCCATAAGTATATGAACACATTTCTTTTGTGTTTTGTTTCTGATTACACAAAATGTGTGGAGTCTTTATGGGGTTGATTCTTATTATTTTCTTATTTTTAAGTTATTTTAATTAATTAATGTATTCATTTAATGGGACCAGTTCTGGTACCTGTGTTTCTTCTGGTTCTCATTTGTGATGCCTTGTTTACCATTTGTAATTTTTGACTGTGAGATTTTTTTTATAATTTTTTTCAGAATAATTGATATCCCCTCCTTATTGCATTTATTTATGACCTTCCCTGGGTCTTCATCACTGCACATAGGCTAGTTCTAGCAAGTGGGGACCTCTCTGCTTGCAGAGCATGGACTCTAGAGCACAGGCGCAATAGTTGTGGCTCACGGGCTTAGTTGCTCCGCGGAAAGTGGGATCTTCCTGGGCCAGGGATTGAACCCATGTCTCCTATATTGTCAGGTGAATTCTAACCCACTGTACCACCAGGGAAGCTCAATGTTAGCTTGTATTGTACTTTCTATCTAGGGAAGCTTTTAAGTAATTCAGGCAAAAATAATTATGAGTCTGGGGACAAAAGTGCTTCAAAAAAGATACGCCCAGAGCACCATGGAATGAGAGAAAAGCTGTCTCCATTTCTGTTAATCCTTTCTCAGTCTCTCTAAGCAGCCATGAGTCCCCCTCAGGACATCTCCTCTAAAGCCCTTTTCAGGCTCATTCTTACCACCGTCACCTTGCTTCCGTCTCTCCCTCCTGCTTACCTTGGAAGGCCACAAAGTGAGGGAGGAACACCACTGCCACAGCACCTGGTTCAGCCTTGATGTCAAACAGAGGTCCTGCAATCAGCCAGCTGTGCTGTGGGAAATTCTTGTTCAGGAACTGGTCCCAGGCACAGAATTCAATTTCAATGGTTGCTGGCCCTCTCACCTCAAAGCGGAGACCAGTGTTGGGCCAGTGGTAGAAGCCAGCCACGGGCAAGTGAACTCTGCAAAATATGGGGAGAAGTGGACACTGGATTACTGTACGCAGACTCACTGAGCACCTACTGGGTGCCAGGCCCTGTGCTGGGCACTATGGATCCTATAGAGTGGCTATAAGCCCAGACATTGACGTCAGATGGATTTGAATTTGAATCCTGGCTCCCCTGGGCTTCCTGGGTGGTGCTAGTGGTAAGGAACCTGCCTGCCAATGCAGGAGGTGCAGGATGTGAGATTAAAGCAGCATAAAAAGTCAGATACAACAAGTGGTCTGTCTTTGGATCATGATTAGAACAAATCATCTGCACAGACACACTTTATACAATTGAACATATTTTAATAAGGATTGGGTACTGGACCATATGAAAGGCTTAATTGTAAACTTCTTGACATGTGAAAAATGACATTGTGGTTATGGAAGAAAAGGTCTTTGTTTGAAAGGTATCACAAAATATTTAAGGCTAAAAACACCCATTTCTTTGGACTTAAAAATACTGCAAAAAAAAGGGGCAGAAAGTGGATAGTTGAAACAAAGTTGGTAAAATGAAGGTTGAAGCTGAATAATGGGTACGTGGAAGTTCCCTGGACTCTACTTGTGTGTCTATTTAAAATTTTTCATAACAAAATCTCTTTTTCCAGGGACTTCCCTGGTAATCCATTGGCTAGGACCCTGAGCTCCCAATGCAGGGGGCCTGGGTTCAATCCCTGGTCAGGGAACTAGATCCCACATGCTGCAACTAAGACCTGGCACAGCCAAAAATAAATAAATACAAATAAATATTAAAAAAAATCCCAACCAACTTTCTTCCTCCCCCATCCAAACCCCTTCTTATTTCATAATAAAACACCAACCAACATCTCAGTCCTGTCTTTCTTTGCACAGTGGCGTGGTGAAGGGGGATACAATGGACCATGATTGGGGTGCAGACTGTCTGTGGGGACCCAGCATGGGGATGGAGGGGCTGGGACAGGCCAGGCCCCCTCACTTACCGGTACAGGCTCCTTTCTTTGTCAACCGCCTCAGTAGCCACAGGCCCTGTGGGGCCCCAGAGGTCATCCTCGGTCCCCAGAGACTCCATGTGCCCGTCCCCCGGAGGGGCAGGAGAAGACAGACAGAAGGGTCTCACCTGTGCTGCTTGAGGAGAGCTGCCTTCTAGAACAGACAGGGCAGTGGCCAGCTTTAGGTTCTCCTGCCTGGCTGCCCCTGGCCCGCTAGGCTAGACCACAGAGGGACCCTTCCCAAGGCCAGTCTGCCTGCTATCCAAGGGGGCTCAACCCTGCTTCCTCCACTTGCCCAAACCCCCCTCCCTCCCCTTTCTCACTTCCCAGAATTATTGCTCTTCGCAGCACTTCCTGGGTGGTCAGCTTTTGAGGGGAACATGGCTCCAAAGACGGACAGGCAGAGATGGAGAGGGGATTCCAGGCCTTAGAATTCCAGAGTGGGCCTTAAGAGACTGGGCTCTGGTTCAGAGTATGAGTCATGCTGTAGATATTTAGGAGAGGAACAGTCCAGCCCCCTGAGGCTGGAAGAGAGGGAAGCAGAAATCCTGCAAGGTTTGGGGAGTGGAAGATCTCTCATGGAGTCTCCCCTAGGTGTCTCTGTCCCACTCCAAAGGCAGGAGGATGGAGGGAATGACCTTTCACAGCTGCCATAACCCCTTCCACCTCCGCAAGCCCACATCATGATGCTCCCAGCCTGGCCCCTTCAAACTACCTGATGCTTGTCTCTGTCGCTTGAGTGAGGACATATCGCTCATCTCTGCTCCACGTGGGACCTCGTGAAGGATCCTCAGACTTGGCTTCCTGGATAGAATTCATTCTCCCGAAGATCGTGGAGGATTCTGGGGGCCATCTCCACGACATCCCCACTTGAGTTCAACTCATCGGAATTTGAACTCCTGATCCTCATGGTGCTTCTCCTGTAGTCCCTGCTTCCATGAATGGCCCCCATCCACCCAGCTGTTTATACCGGAACTGAGGCATCATCCTGACTTCTCCCTTGGCTAATCTAAGAGCTGATTGATCACCTTGACAAGCCTCCAAAACAGCTCTTTTTCTCTCCATCTTTATGGCCTCCACCCTGGTCCCAGGCCCTGACATCTGTGGCTAGAACCACTGCCTCATCTTAAAGGGTTCCCTGTTTTTGCTGTTGATCCTCTGGTCCACTGTCCACTCAGCAGCTGATCTGAAAATGGGAACCTGGCACAGAACTTCGATGCTAAAGCCCTGAAATGTCTATTGATTTGGGGAGTAAGATCGAAATTCTTAACGTGGCCCAAAAGATGTTAGGTACTGCCTCCCACCCCCAGCCCCACCTGTGCCAGTCTCCCTGCTCCCGTGGCTCTAGATCAGTGTTAAAAATCACCTGAAGCCCTGGGTTAGAACATGGATTCCTGGGCCCACCCCAAGGTTCTGACTCAGCAGGTCTGGAGTGGGGCCTTTCTGCCGAGCTCCTTACTGTTGTTTAGTCGCTAAGTCATGTCTGACTCTTTCACGACACTATGGACTTTAGCCCGCCAGGCCCCTCTGTCCATGGGACTTTCCAGGCAAGAATATGTGGGTGGGTTGTCATTTCCTTCTCCAAGGTATCTTCCTGACCTAGGGATCGAACCAGAGTCTTCTGTATCGGTAGGTGGGTTATTTACTATTGAACGGCCTGGGAAGCCCTCTGAGCCCCCAGGGAATGTTGATTCTGCTGCTGATTCTGAGGACCACACTTTGAGTAGCTCTGCTCTAGGTCCCTGACCTCCTATTCCTCAAAGAAGCTAAGTTCAGCACCTCTACTGAAATGGCAAGTAAAACATGGACCAGCTTAAACTGGTTTTGCCGCCTTTAAATAAGTTAACTGATTAATGCAGCCTTGAGTTATTTAGATAGCACCCCCACGTGCAAGACAGAACCTGTGTCTCCAGTACTCAGAACCCAGAATCTTCAGTCTACAGAACTCAAAGGATAGAAATGTTGCCCCAGGAGCCCTTTTTGGGACTAGAAGTCCTTCAAAAAAGGAAGATCTGGCTTCCAGCAGTGCAAGTAGCTTGTTTGGCTTATTTGAAACTAGCCAATCAGCTTCCAAGATTGACATTTCTCTAGACCCCTTAAATGTTGCCCTGAACCCTGGATTGATTTGAGAGCCTTACCTCCTGTGCCCTTGCTAGTAGACCTTCCAATAAAGCTCTTTCTTTTCTCAAAAGCCAGTGCCCTAGTCTTGGCTTTACGCACTTCAGGCATCTGACTCTTGTTTGGCAAGCTACACCACCTCTGCCTGGAATCAACCCCTTCCGGGCCCAGCACACCCCTCCCATCCTTCAGAGCTCAGCTCAGCTGCTCTGCATAGAATCTAGTGGGCCCATCAGTGTCCTTAAGAAACCCAGATGTAGTTCTGTGGGTGGAGGTGGGTGGCTGGGGTGGGGGTGGGGAGGGAATAATTTGCAACTGCTGGGCTGAGCTCCTGAAATTTGGGCCCTTGTTCACTGCTGTGTGCCTCACACATTGTGTGAGGGATACAGGGCATGTTCTGTGACAAGTGGGTCCTCCTAAAGCTGGGAGCCTTTTCCTCTCCTTTTAAGGTGAGGCACAGCTACCGAGAATCAGGGAACAGTTGCCCTTTGGGGTCACAGGCTGAAATGCACCAAACTGGGAGAACATGGGCGCTGCAGCAGATTCCCTGGGGAGGAAGAAGGACTCTCCCGTCTCTGAGGCTCACCCCTCCAGCCTCTTCGGCTGCGTGTGTATGTATATTGGCGGCTGAGGGTCGGGGTGTAGGTGTCTGGCACTTCCAAGGCTCTCTCTGTCTTTGTCTCCCCCTAGTGGTCATTGCTTTCCAAGTTCCAAATCTCATCCACGCACCCATTCACCTTTTTTTTTTTTTAAATTTTCTTATTGGAGAAGGCAATGGCAACCCACTCCAGTTTTCTTTCCTGGGAAATCCCATGGACACAGAAGCCTGGAAGGCTACAGTCCATAGGGTCACACAGTGTCGGACACAACTGAAACGACTTGGCACGCACACATTCGTCTAATGGAAAGGTTTAAGCAGAGGAGTGGCATAATTCTGTTCGCACTAAACAAATCAACGTCCAAACCTCTCTCTGGCTGCCGTGCTTTCTTGGTTTCTTCCCTGCTCTGCTGTGTCTGCCTCCACCCCATGTCTTTCCCCATCTCTTGGTTCTGGACCTGCCCCAAGGACTCAGCCGATCCTGGAACAGCAGGAGGGGGTTCTGAGTCTCCCCACCTTACCATATCCCGGAGACTAGCAGCTGAGGCTTCTCCTTCTCCAGGGCCCTCAGCATCTCGGTCACCTCCTCACTCAGCTGAGTCTGGTCCAGCCTGTAAGCACAAAGGTAGCCTGGTTCTCCCAGGACCCCTGCGTGATCCCGAGGTCCTTGGGGGCTCAGGATGGTGGAATCTGCCACCTCCCAGAGGAAACTGTCGCAGGTTGGGTTTGCTGGGAATTGGGCTCTGAGATGGAAAGTGGAGTGAGGTTTATTAGGGGGTGTTCTTGGATCAACACAAGGGTGGCGGGGAGAGGGAAACAGGTCTGGGCAGAGAGGAAGAAGTTGGGCTGTGATGCCGTCTCAATGGAGACCTCAGCCAAGGCTACTGGAGGCTCTGAAGTTGGGATGATCCCTCAGAGCTGTCCCAAATTGGGAGAGGCGCTGGGTCTTTATACCCTGACATTGGTCAGGCCTTAGATGCAGGTCACTCCAGGAACGGGATGAGATCTTGGGAGAGGGGGCCCTTACAGGCAAACATCATCCCAGTAGCTGGCTGTCAGTAGCATTCCCAGTGGCTTAGGATTACATCCTCATTCCTGGAGAGCATCTGGGCAGTGGCTCACAGCGTCCACCACAGAACAGCCATTCCCCACAGCCTGAAGATGACCACCCAGGGGTAGGTCCTGGGATTTCCTGCTCAGAGGCTAGATGGTTTGCTGGAAAGGCGAGTGCCCTGTTTCCGTTCTCCTGGCCTTGTGTTCTGGGCTGCTTCAGATTTCAGATAGCTGTTGCTCTTTCTGGGCCCCCGTGCCCTCCTCTCTAACACAGACGGACAGGCTCCACCTGTCATGAGCCCCGGACGGGACGCACTGTAGAGGGCAGTGCACGCCGCACTCATTGCTGTGATCAGAGCTAGTGTGCCCTAGGGAGAAGATGGAGCCCCCCACGTAGACGGTTGTCCCTCCCAGTCCGGTCCTGGGACTCTGGGAGGAAGGAAGCAGAAACCTTCACAGGACCACAAGGCACAGGCTGCTCTGAGGCAACCCAGGTCTGACCAGTAACCAGTGAGCTGGCCACAAATTCAGATTTCCCGGCTGAGGCCAAGCTCTGGAGAGGCCTTGCACTATGTAGCGGAAATGCTTGGTGGGGAGGGAGCTGGAGTTCCCCTGGTTGTAAACGGTCAGGGTTAGCCTTGGGGGAACCCACTTGCAGAGTGTTTATCTCATTATCTTGCCCCGACTTCGCCTTTAGGCCTGAGAGTCTAAAGGAGGGAGTCCTGGCTGAAGGTGGCCAGGGCCCAGACTTTGCAGACCCCTCAAAGACCCGGGTTTGATCCCTGGGTCGGGAAGATCCCCTGAGAAGGGAATGGAAACCCACTCCAGTATTTGTGCCTGGAAAATCCCATGGACAGAGGAGCCCAATGGGCTACGATCCTTGGGGTCGTGAAGTCAGACACGACTGAGCCACTAATATTGTGATTCCCACTACGTTTCTAAGGGCTGCTGGAGCTCAACAGAGGACCTGAGCGGGAGGGGGATGGAGGGTCTGGAGCCCTCAGCTCTCTGAGTGTGTGACAGGGCCCCAGCCAGGAGCAATAAGCAAGGGCTCAGCCAGAAACAGCCAGTGGACTTGTTCTCAGGAAGTGGAGGAAAGAGGAAGTGGCTGAGAGTCACGGTAGGGGCTGCTGCTCAGAGAACATCGCCCTCAGGGCCTGCAGGGCAGCAAGGAGGGCTGGGGGCTCACTGCTTGTCGGCTGCACAGGACTCCAGTGCTCCAAGCCCATTTCTATCTGAACTCTGTCCTAGTGTTCACCAGCATTTTATTGATATGACGGCCCCATTAGACAGATAAAGAAACCAAGTCTCAGGTGAAGAGCTGCCTGAGTCACACGGCCTAAGTAAGTGGCATCACTGATGAGGAAGCCTGGCTGACCGTGCATTTGTCTGTCCCTTTTCTTTCCTCTGTCCAGTTCTGCGGCACTTGCATCCCCTCCCTCCATTCCCTGCCCTCTGCCCAGAAGGGGCCCGCAGAGCCTCACCATAGGAATATGAGCCGGCAGGAAGGGTGCCTGAGTCCTTCACAGAGCCTCCTCACGCCGAGGTTGTCCAGGTCATTCTGCAGCAGGTTTAGCTCCATCAGGCTGGGACTGACCCTGAGCACGGAGGCCAGGTCCTGGCAGCAGCCAGACGTGAGGCCGCAGCCTTCCAGCCTGCAGGGAAGACACGGGCCCCCAGTCAATGTCCTAACTGGCATCTGGTTTTCCTTTCTAGTACCTATGGCCCTTTGAGGGTTCTAGGGTGACATTAAAGGAAGATAAAGACCTGCCTTGCTTGCAGGAACCTGGGAGATTTAAATATTCCTCTTGCAGCCAAGGAGCCACTCAGGATAGAGACCACATCCCCTTTTCACTTCCGTGTGATTCCCATGAATCCTGCTCACTCACTGTATCGATGTTGTATGATTAATTTACACCGATGTTCCACTGGGATGCCTGGATCTCATTGTTAACTACCTTGGCCCTCCCAAATGCCCAGAGTTACCTGACATAGGTTTCAGCATTTTGTGGGTTTCAACATTAAGGGTGTCTACAATACAGGATGAGAAAAGAGTGAGCTTCTAATATAAGAACAAAAGTTAAGGAGGAATATGAGGGCTTCAGTGGGAATCTTTCATGGCCTCCATGAGCCCTTGCTTTCTCTCTGCCCCGTGGTGCTAGGGCAGCTCCTCTGCCTCCCCGTGCCCACCCCACAAAGTAGTGCCAACGAGGAGCAATTACAACAGTCGCTGCAGCTTGCAGGTTGGCTGTCTCAGGCCCTGGCAAAGGTGCTCAGCTCCTGCGTCCAGGAGTGTGTTGAAGCTCAATTCCAGTTGCATCAGGGTTTGGCTGGCGCTCAGCCCAGAGGTAATGTCCTTGCAGCTCTCAGCTGTGAGGCCGCAGCTGGCCAACCTGTGGGAGACATGTGACGATGGTCTTGCCTTTACTTATCTGTTGATTCCACAATCACCCATGAACAGCCTGTTGAGCATCTACACCTGTGGGCCAGGTGGAGGTCAGTAAGCCCCCAGGCCCCCCAGAAATGCACAGGCAGTGGGGGATAGACATAGAAACAAATAACAGTAAGTCAGGTTTTCGATCTCTTTGGATTAAAATCCTCCCACGTTTTCCCAGGTCGTCAGAGAGAAATTCATTGTCCTTGACCTTGTCTGTGAGACACTGGCGGTCTGACTCCTTGTCCTCTCTGTCCTCATCTCATATTCCTTTTAGCTGCTTCTCCACTGGCCTCCACACTGCTCCTTAAACTCTCCAGGCATGGTCCCACCTCAGGTTCTCTGCACTGGCTGTTTCTTTTGCCTGGAACAAGCTATCTTACCTGATAGCTCATGGCTTATTCCCTCACCTGCTCCCAGGTCTTTGCTCAAAAGTCCCCTTGCAGGAACCTTGCCTCACCACCCTCCCTATTTAAAATGGCACACCCAGCCCCAACTCTCTACTCCTTTTTGCTTTACCTTTCTCTCTAGTCCTTACCACACGCAATATACTTTACTTGTTCTTTTGACTTTTTGTTCCCACTGCCTCTGGAATGTAGGCTCCATGAAGGAGTTTTGCCCATTTTCATTACGAGCTGTACCCAAGTGCCCACAGTAGTGTCTGGCACATAGTAGGCACTTAAAAAGTAGATGGTGCCCCGAGGGACAAGTCAAGTGTGGCTGAAGGCAGAAGAAATGATTAATTTTGACAAGGGAAGGAGGTGGAAATGTACGAGGAATGCCTTGAATGATGAGTAGTTCATCAAGATGCCCAACCCAAGTAAAATCTTCTTCACATAATACCCAGAAGTGGAATAGCTGGCTCACATGATAGTGCTGTTCTTCTTCTTTTTGTTTTTTTTTGAGAAATATCTATACCATTTTCCGTGGTGGCTGCATCCATTTCCATTCTCACCAACAGTGTATGAGAAAGCACATATTTTCTCCACATCCTCTCCAATACTTGTGATTTCTACCTTTTTGATAATAGCCATGTTATCAGGCATAAAGTGATATCTTTTTTTGGCAGTGCCATGAGGCTTACAGGACCTTAGTTCCCCAGTGAAAGATCAAGCTCAAACCCACAGCAGTGGAAGCACTGAGTCCTAAGCACTGGACCACGAGGAGAGTCCCCAAGTGTCCCTTCCTTAAGGACATTTTCTCTGGAGACCCTCATCTGGCCCTGCAGTTACACCTTTATTGGCATGGTTCCTTGACTAATGTCGGTCTTTTGCAAGCCGTCTGAGAATAGACACCCGCCTGTGTCTGTTTACCATGGTGACCCTGGCACCTGGCACAGTGGTGGGCCAGAGAGGGGCTCAATGAGTATTTGCTGAATGCAAGGACAATTCCCCCTCCCAGAGTCAGCGCCCGTCTTAGATCTCCTGTCCCTCCCCGTTCGGAGCAGAGCCCAGGCCAGACTCACCGCAGGGTCTCTAGGTGGCACCCAGGGCATCTCAGGGCCTCATCAAGACTCTGTACTGCAGAGCGGCTCAAGATGTTTCCACTCAGGTCCAGTTCCTTCAGGTTTCCAGTGACCTGGAGGACGGAGAAGAGAACCCGCCAGCAGGCCTCTGTGACCGGGACCCAGCTCAACCTGTGCAGGAGAGAGGGGTAGGAGGGCCGCGGTATGTGTGTGCAGGGTGGGAGCTGCTGTCCCCGGGGCCGCAGCCTCCCTGACTGCCCCTGAACACCGCAGACAAAAAAGATGGAAAATGGCCCCCTCTCCCCTCAAGAAACTTCCAGACGGAGGCAGAAGCAGACATCCACGATGAACACTTCAGAGGAGTGCGACAAGGGCTGTAGACTGACGAGCCTCAGAGGAGAGGGGCCCCCAGCCCAGGGTGGTGGCGCAGAGGGGCAGCCAACTATAAAACAGAATGTCCAGTGTGGTTCAGTTTTGCCATGAAAATCAGCATAAAAAAGACTAGATGATAGACCTCAATTCTTTTTTTGTTTCTTTTTAAAATCTTTTGGCTGCTCTGCACAGCATGTGGGATCTTAGTTCCCTGACCAGGGCTCGAACCTGTATCTCCTGCATTGGCAGCATGGAGTGTTAATCACTGGACCACCAGGGAAATTCCATACACCTCAATGTTTTAAAGAAAGTTTTTATTTTTTAAAAAAATTAAAAAAAATTTAAATTATGAAAGCATGATAACACATTTAAAGGGGACTTGGAAAATACAGAAGAAATACATCTAGTTACATAGAGTTCCACTGTTTACTAAAATTATTTTTTAAGTAGGTAAATTACGATTTTTAGTTGGAGTTTCAATGTCAAACTCTCAAAAATTACTAGAATGAGTAGAGAGAAAAGTAGAATGATACAGTGATCTGAAAAGCACTACTTAATTCAACATAATTAAGATGTGTACAATTTACACACAATAGCATCATATACTTCAATTCTTAATGACAGTCATTTCTGAGTGATGGCATTCTGGTTGATATTAATTTCTGTCTTTTTGCTTCTCTACATATTCTTATTTTCCTATAATGGACATGGGTTTTGCTGTGAGAAAAAAACCCTTGAAAATCTGAAAAAGCAAAAACCCAAATCCAACATTTCTTCTTCTGACTCTTTTCTTGTGTGTGATTGTGTGATTGTGTGTGATTGGGCTTCCCTGGCAGCTCAGACAATAAAGAATCTGCCTGCAACGCAGCAGACCCAGGTTCAATCCTTGAGTTGGAAATATCCCCTGGAGAAGGGAACGGCAACCCACTCCAGTATTCTAGTCTGGAGAATCCCATGGACAAAGGAGTCTGGCGGGCTATGGTCCATGGTGTCGTAGAGAGTCAGATGCGACTAACACTTTCACTTTTTCCCTCCTTTTTCTGTGTGTGATCACTCCCTTCCTATGGGCTGCCTAGGTGGTGCTAGTGGTGAAGAATCTGCCCACTAATGCAGGGGACACAAGAGAACTTCTGGTTTGATCCCTGGGTCAGGAAGATCCTCTGGAGGAGGAAATGGCAACCTTCTCAAGTATTCTTGCCTGGAAAATCAAGGAGCCTGGCAGGCTACAGTTCATGGAACCACAAAGAGTGGGATGTGACTGAGCGTGCATGTGTGCGCACGTGTGTGTGTCACGCGCACGTGTGTGTGTCACACACACACACACACACACACACTCTCTCTCTCTCGTTCTGCAGCCAACATCATGCCTTGCTGTCTGTTACCGTAGCATCATACTCAATTGTAATTACTGGGTGGTTGTGTGTCTTCTACCCCAGGTTTTAAGTTCTTTGAGGCAGGAGTTTTTTTTGTTCATCTGTGATTTGGAGGATCTGGCCTAAAAACAGTGCCAGATAAATATTCACAGAACAAATCATAAAAGGACTAAATGACCAATACTGCAACTGAGGTTGGGGAACCTGGGTGGGGAAGTGAATGGGGTTCGAGGATGTTTAGAGAAAACTCTGCCATCACATTCAGGTTGGTGGGGGAGGGTTTTAGGCTAAGTGCCTGGGGTACAGGAGTGCATTATTGACACAAAGAAGTCAGAAGTCAGAACATGGAGGCTACCTTTCAGACATACATATTCTGTGATGGAGGAGATCTCTGGACCAATGCCATGGTCAACAGCCATCAAGGGGAGTGTCTGAAGCATCTGAGGGCGCGGTTTCTTAGAGACAAACATGAGGGAGAAAGGGAGGCCGGTGGGCTGCGTGGAGGGGAAGTCAGGTCAGCACGGGAGGTGGAGAATATGGTGGTCGTCAAAGAGACAGGACGAGGAGTGGCAGGACACAGCGGGCCCACCCAGAGGCAGCCAGGGCACGTCACATGGATGGACCCTGCTGCAGGGAATCTTAGGCAGATGGGGGATGGTGGGCGGGTCTGCCGTGGTGGTCGCTGGAGGCCTCGATCCTTGAGCCCCTGGGGTTAAGTTCAGTGAAAGTGACTCCCGCACCTAGGACGGAGGAGCCAACAGAGGAGCCGGAGAGGAGAGGGCGGGGTACTCACAGCACTGCGTCCGGAGGCCTGCATGCTCCTTGGCGTTGTCCGCCCTCGTTCAATTGAAGCCGCCGCACATGGCAGCAGAATCTAATGCAGAAAGTGAACACGAGCAGCTCCATGCTGGTTCGGATGCACACTCTCGTTCCTTGGAAATAGGCCATCGCTTGTGTCAGGAACTCCTCGTCCTGAATCTCGTACAGACAGTGAAACAAGTGCGGAGAGTAATGCTCACGCCAGACTTCCAGTTCAGCCCAGCGCAGCAGTGACTCCCGCTTTCTCTCCCAAGACAGCTTGCATTGGAAAATGTTCTCCACCTCTCTCGCTCCTTGCTCACTCAAAAGCCCGGATAGGAAATGCACGGTCGGTGCCCCAAACGGGTTATTGATCCCATATACTTCTACCAACTTTTCCATGCTTCCAGTGCTGTTAGGACGGTCACTTTTGTCCCCCATGTCCCATAAGGCAAAGGACATTGCTGCAAGGAACTCCTGGAAACACAGGTGAATGAAGCTGTAGTTGAGAGACATGGGGTGCTTTTGAAGTACATCCATCTTTAAGGGAGCGGAGTTGATGACCCCATCTAATCCATGCTTCTTGAGGTCCCCTGGACTGAACAGAGTCTTTCCTTGCCAGATACCCTCAGCAGCTAGAGTACAGAGGCCCCTCAGCTGAGTCCCCAGGGGCAGAGCTTGGATAGCCTGGGAAAGGTAGCGCAGATAGAGGGCTGTCATGGTCTGCGACCTCAGTGAGAGTTCTTCCCCTGCCTCCATCTGCTGCTTCAGGCAAGTGCAGGCCAGCCAGGACACCAAGGGCATGAGACACATGGTCAAGAGTGCTTGGTTTGATTCAACCACGCCAAAGGCTCTAGTCGCTTGGCTTTCCTCTGTGAAATATTCGTAGAAATAGTCCTTCCTGGACGACTCGGAGAACCCCAGGACCTCCACCCAACATGGCTGCTTCAAAGAAGGAATGAATCTCCGCAGAGCTGCAGTCCGAGCTGTGATCAGCAAGGATGCCTCCGGAAATATGGTTTTCTCCAGCAAACTGCCCAGTAGTGTCTGCACGGGCTGCTGCTGGCTCCAATGCAGACAGAGCTCCACCCTCTGCTCCTCTGAGACCCATTCCAGTTCATCTAAACCATCGAGGATGAAAAGCAGCTGCTCCGGCTGAGACTGGACCTGTCCAGTGGGAGTCACAGTGGCGGACTGGTCTTTTGTGATGAGTTCCTCCAGACTTGTCAGCTTGGACGCAGCCAGCTCTCTGCAGTTGAAATAGAAGACATGCTGGAAGTGGTTCCTGTATAGCTGGCCCTTCTCCCAGGCTCTTCTCACGTGCCTGGCCAGTGTGGACTTCCCGATTCCAGCAACTCCATGCAATATGACTGTGTGAGGCCCTTCCTGGGGACCCAGGTCTGAGCCAAATAAGTCTCTGACCTCAATCAAATGCCCTTGCTCCTCAACCATCCTGTGATCCCAGCTTCCCCAGTTCAAGGACTTGTAGTCTCTGGGGTAAGGAGTCTGGAGAAGTAGCAACTGCACGAATTTTTGGTGCAAATCTTCATTTTCCCATGACCAGGTGGAGCAAGGTCTCTCTCTCCGTTGGTCCTGGTATCTCTCTCTGCCTCCTAAGTAAGGGAGGGAGAGATAAAACATAAAGGTATAGGATAGATTTGTTCACTTGTCCCTCCTTCCAATGCTCAACAACTGTTTTTTGCACCTGCTCAAGCCACATGCTGTGCTGGCTGCTGATTCAGAAATAAAGGAAATCAAGATTAGAAGAACAGTGGAGAGGCTGGTGAGATATCTGCACTCCCACACTCATTACAGCGCTATTCATGATACGGAAGCGTGCTATGAAACAACCTAAGCTGTTTCAGTGGATGAATGGATGGATAAAGGAGATATAGTCTATTGATCTAGGTATCTACCTATCTCTCTATAATGGAATATTATTCAGCCATAAAAAGAAGGAAATCCTGACATTTGTGATAACATGGATGAACCTGGAGGGTATTATCCTAAGTGACATAAGCCCGACAGAGAAAGACAAATACATATGGTATCACTTATATGTGGAATCTAAAAACAAAAAAATTAACCTTATAGAAACAGAGAGAGGAATAATGGTTCCCAAGCATGAAGGGGTGAGGGAAATTGGGAGATGTTGAGCAAAGAATACAAACTTTCAACTTTAAAATGGATTAGTTTTGAGGCTTTGATGTACAGCACGATGAAGATAGCTAATAATACCATACTATATGTTTGAAATTTGCTAAGATAGCAAATCATAAGCATTCCCAACACACACACACACAAACACACACACACAGGTATGCAAGGTGATAGATATGTCAATTAATTTGATTGTAGTAATTGTTTCACAATGTATATCAAATCTGTACACTTTTAACATAGTACAATTTTATTTATCAATCATGCCTCAATCTTGACTGGAAAAACCAACAAAAAAGAATTCAGCATTAGGACAAGTTGTATTTCTTCTGAATTGGTCTTTTCTATTCTATTGAGCAGGGCTTCCCAGGTGGTACAGTGGTAAAGAACCCACCTGCCAGTGGAGAAGATTCGGGTTTGATCCCTGGGTCAGGAAGATCCCCTGGGATAGGAAATGGCAACCTATTCCAGTATTTTTGCCAGGAGAATCCCTTGGACTGTGCTTGCCATGGAGTTGCAAAGAACTAGACATGACCAAGCGACTGAGTGCACATGCATTCTATTGAGTAATAGATATTAGGTAACCAATCCATTGTCTTTCCCTTTTTGCCTTGGTTGCTAGGATGCTCAGAATCAATGAATGTTTTTTGAAACAACTAATTAGCCTCTTGGTTTTCATATTTACTTCTTCATGTTTAAGGTTATATTACTTTTGTATGTTTTGGTAAGATGCCTCTTACATATTACAAAATTCTTTCTTCTTTTCTTCTTTTTCTTCTTCCCTCCCTCCTTTTTTTCCTTCCTTCCTTCTTCTTTCCTTCCCTGAATGGGAAAAAGTATGATTAATTAAGTCAGTTAATTCATCTCCAACCTGGGTCACATTTTAGGACCATGAATTCTACAAGTATACTCCTACCTGGGTGCGGAATGGATCATTTTAACAAAACATCTCTCAGATTTCAAAAGGGACTTCTCTTATCATTGAGATCAATGTTAAGAAGATGCCTTGTGCATGTCCTAAGCTACTTCAGTCATGTCTGACTCTTTGTAAGCCTAAAGACTGTGCAGCCCACCAGGACCCTCTGTCCATGGAATTCTCCAGGCATGAAAACTGGAGTTGGTTGCCATGCTCTCCTCCAGGGGATCTTTGTGACCCAGGTATCAAACCTGCTTTTCTTACATCTCCTGTATTGGCAAGCGGGTTCTTTACCAATAGCACCACCTGGAAACCCTCAGATGACAAAGGAAGCAGAACATTAAATGTGTGGATAGTGGCATTTAGAACCAAACATGGAACAACAGACTGGTTCAAGTTTGCAGAAGGAGTGTGTCAAGGCTGTATATTGTTGCCCTGTTTATTTAACTTATACCCAGAGTACATCATGCAAAATGCTGGGGTGGATGAATCACAAGCTGGAAGCAAGATTTCCAGGAGAAATATCAATAACCTCAGATATGCAGGTGACACCACCCATATGGCAGGAAGCGAAGAGGAACTACAGAGCCTCTTGATGAAGGTGAAAGAGGAGAGTGAAAAAACTAGCTTAAAGCTCAACATTCAAAATTAAGATCATGGCATCTGGTTCCATCACTTCATGGCAAATAGATGAGGAACAATGAAAACAGTGAGAGAGTTTATTTTCTTGGGCTCCAAAATCACTGCAGATGGTGACTGCAGCTATGAAATTAAAAGACGCTTGCTCCTTGGAAAAGAAACTATGACAATCCTAGATAGCATATTAAAAAGCAGAGACATTGCTGACAAATGTCCATCTAGTCAAAGCTATGGTTTTTCCAGTAGTCATGTATGTGTGTGAGAGTTGGGCTACAAAGAAAGCTGAGCGCTGAAGAACTGATGCTTTTGAACTGTGGTGTGAGAGTGCCTTGAACAGCAAGGAGATCAAACCAATCCTAAGGAAATCAACCCTGAATATTCACTGGAAGGACTGAGGCTGAAGCTGAAACTCCAATACTTTGGCCACCTCATGAGAAGAGCTGACTCATTGGAAAAGACCCTGATGCTGGGAGGGATTGGGGGCAGGAGGAGAAGGGGACGACAGAGGATGAGATGGTTGGATGGCATCACCGACTTGATGGATATGAGTTTGAGTGAGCTCCAGGAGTTGGTGATGGACAGGGAAGCCTGGTGTGCTGCAGCAGTCCATGGGGCCGCAGAGAGTTGGACAACACTGAGCGACTTAACAACGGCAGTGGCATTAGAGAGAGCGGAGGCTGAATTCCATCTCTGCCATTCTGAGAGTTTATATTTTCGAGCCTCAGTCTTCTTATTGCCAAGGTGGAATAATAATAACATCCATCTCATGGAGTGGTCATGAGATTTTATACTGTGCAAGCAAAGTACTTGGCACAGAGCCTGACACATAGAGAGTGTCCATCTGACTTGCTCCAGGCCATTTGGGGCCTGAGAACTCATCAGAAATGGAATCTTTCTCTTCCAACTCTAGGCCAGTGACTGTCCACTCACCAGGTGATGTGTCTCCTGTACTGGATAATACTCCTGCATTTTAATTTCCAGGGGCTTCCTGGAAACAGTGCCTTAGGTAGGTGGAGAGATTCTGGCAGTAGGATTTCTTTTTTATTTTTTTAAAAGTAGTTTTACTTATTTATTTATCTTTGGCTGCTCTGGGTTCTCACGGCTTTGTGGGCTTCTTCCTGGTTGTGGCAAGCAGGGGCGGCTCTTCGTTTTGCGGTGCTTTGGCGTCTCAGTGCAGTGGCTTCTCTTGTTGTAGAGCATGGGCTCCAGGGCGTGTGGGCTTCAGTTGTTGTGGTGCACTGGCCTAGTTGTTCTGTAGTATGTGGGATCTCCCTGGAACGGGGATCGAACCCATGTCCCCTTCATTGGCAGGTAGATTCTTAACCACTGGACCACTAGGGAAGTCCCAGCAATAGGATTTCTGGAGAGAGGTCTCAGATGTTTGCCAGACCCTTTCTGCTCAGTCTATCAACCGGGCCCCCATCCATGTTTTTGCCTCACCCACCCCTTTCCAGAAGCTCAGCAGGGTCTTACCTGTGCAGCTGTTTCCAGATGTTTCAACCAGTGGCCATACAGTCCCAGGACCCTCCTTCTCTCTGGGCTCTGGACAGGAATGACTTGGGGGTTCACAGACTCTCAGGACTGCGGTGGAGGTGGGGTCATTGGGTAACTCTTGGCTTGGTGACTCATGATATGGGGAACTTGGAAAAGCTTGGTAAATGCTTAGGGAATGGTCTTCAGGGGAGAAAGACAGGAAAGAAAGGATCATTTATTGAGCATCCATTTCAGGCTCACACATTTTAAATTCTCACAAAAATCCTGTGAGATGGTGTTGGTAATCCAATTTTTAAAATCACAAAGATGGAGGTACAATTTAATTCTCTTAATACTCTGAAACTTCTTCTATCAGGTAGAAAGATTTTGATAAACCCCTTGGGGAAGGGAGTTAAGCTGCCCATTTCAAGCAACAGCAAATAGTTACTAAGTGGCATTGTAAAGTAGTGGGTCCTCTTCATTGCCAGGCACTGTTTTATTTATTTTTTTTTTAATATTTATTTATTAATTTGGCTGCACTGGGTTTTGGTTGCAGCTTGTGGGTTCTTTTTTTTTTTAGTAATAAAAGTTGTTTATCAGTTTCACAATCAATACCCAGACGAAAAATAGAAGATAATTACAATATGACTTGTGGGTTTTTTCAGTTGTGACATACAAACTCTTAGTTATAGCATGTGGGATGTATTTCTCTGATCAGGGAAAGAACCTGGGTCTCCTGCAGTGGGAGTGGAGTCTTAGCTGCTGGATCAACAGGGAAGTCGTTAAATGCTTTATCGTTTTATTCAGGCTCTGTTTTGCCAGACAATGAAACTCAGGGTATGCAAGTTTGGGGCAGAGGGGAACTACTCTGTGTCTTCAATAAAGGAAGAGTTAGTGAGACTGGGTAGTGTGTGTGGGGAAGGACAAGAGAGAAGAAAGCTGGTGGGGGCACAAGAGGGGACCTTTGTGGGCAGAGAGATGTGAAAAGTCTAACACTTTTCTTCTACAACATCTTGTAGAGTCTACATCGTATATCTGAACTTCTGTGCACATGGGTTATTTTAGTGTGGAGTTCAAAGATGTGTAAGTTCTGTACTGTGGTCTGGGGTGGTGTGCAGAGTAGATCAGACAAGGAAATTGAGACACAGGAGGATGAAGTGATTTGTTCGGTGTCATAGAGCAAGTGGGTGAAGTCATGGTGGAAACTGAGGGTACTGGAGCTTGTGACCATCACTGTTGAGGCTTGGGAGTGGAGTGGGGAGAGTAGGCATAGAAGGAAGGGGAAGGGACTTCTTTGGTGGTGCAGTGGATAAGAATTTGCCTGCCAATGCAGGGGACATGGATTTGGTCCCTGGTCTGGAACGATTCCACATGCCGCAGAGCAAGTAAGCATGACAGCCACGACTACTGAGCTTGTGAGCCTAGAGCATGTAGTCCGCANTGGTGCAGTGGATAAGAATTTGCCTGCCAATGCAGGGGACATGGATTTGGTCCCTGGTCTGGAACGATTCCACATGCCGCAGAGCAAGTAAGCATGACAGCCACGACTACTGAGCTTGTGAGCCTAGAGCATGTAGTCCGCAACAAAAAGAAGCCACTGCAATGAGAAGCATGGGCACCGCAATGAAAAGTAGCCCCCGCTTTGCCACAATGAGAGAAATCCAGTGTGCAGCAGCGAACACCCAGTGCGGCCAAGAATACTGGAGTGGGTTGCCATTTCCTCCTCTGGGGGATCTTCCTAACTCAGGGATCAAATCCATGTCTCTGGCGTCTCCTGCATTGGCAGGTGGATTCTTTACCACTAGCGCCTCCTGGGAAGCCCAAGCTGGGGATGGGGACCTTCAAAAAGCAGCAGCAGATGGAGAGAGAAATGACTGTACCAGGAATGGGTGGTTGTAGGTTCCAGCCCTGGCTCTGTCTCCAGATGCTGTGTGAACTTGCACTTTGATACTGGGACGAGAAGAGGAAGAGGCCGGGGTGTGGCTGGGGTTTGAAGCCTGGGTGACTCAGGATGATGGAGGCCAAAATAAGAGAAGTCAGGAGAGGGAACCGGCTTAGGCTGAAGGGTGAGCCTACCCTTCTCTTGGGGTTTATCTGGAGAACCAAGTCCTCCTTGGAACTTTCTAAACCACCCTGACCCCCAGGATCTTCAAAGTCCACTGAGGTTGTGAACTGAGCTCTGCCTGCGCAAGGACCACATTGCGTCAGGTTGGGGGAGATTCACTGTCTGACCAACGTGAGTCTCAGCATCCCCATCTTATCAAATCAGAAGGAGTGCAGTCTCAGCAGAGGGATGCTCCTGAAAGATCATTTTTAGACCCACTGTACCCACCACCCTGCTCCTGGCTCCTCCAGCCTTCTGTAGTTCCTTCTGACCAGGTCCACATGGAGTTACAAGCCCACTGGCTGCCTCAAAGCTGCCCCCCCCATCCAGATGTGAAAACTAGGGATCTCGACCTCTGTTCCATTGAGCACTCGAGCACTGGTTGATTAGGCTTGCAGAATTTCAACACTTCGGTGGAGGTGGGCCAGCTGGGGGACTCCAGGTTGGGTGCACTTGGTGAGTGGAAGAATGAGGAAGACAGGGCTGTGGGGAGCAGACAAACAGGTTGGAGGATTGCCAGGGGAAGGGGCAGGAGCCAGGGGGCTGAGGCCTGGGTCCTTCAGCCAAGAAGAACAAGAGAGGTCTTTTGTCTCAACCAATGGAGTCGGGAGGGAGACCATTGCAGCCTGCCTCTTGTTGGAGGACGATTTCCTGATGCTGCTGGATGATTCATCCTGATTTTGGTCCAGAAGATTTGCTTCTGTGTCCTGGTTCTGTCTCTACCTCCTCATGAAAGTTGAGCCCCCTCTCTGCACCTCTCCCTGGTGGGGTGAAGAGTCCCACCTCCCAGGGCTGCTGATTAGTAATAATACCTGCAGTGACAGCAACAATAGCAACAGAGCTCCTATTTTTCTTTTTTTTTGAGTACTTACTATGTCTTAGGGGCTTCCCTCATAGCAAAGTCAATAAAGAATCTGCCTGCAATGCAGGAGACCGGAGTTCGATTCCTGGGTCAGGAAGATCCCCTGGAGAAGGAAATGCAACCCACTCCAGTATTCTTGCCTGGGAAATCCCATGGACAGAGGAGCCTGGTGGGCTACAGTCCATGGGGTCGCAAAGAGTCGGAATAAACCATCACTAGACTCTTAGACCCTGTACTAAATATTTAATACGAATGATCTCTCTAACCCTTACATAGTCCAAGGAGGTAGGCTCTTGCTCCCCCATTTTACAGATGTAGAAACAGAGGCACAGAGCAGTGAAGTGACTCGCCCAGTGTGGCCCGATTCCCAAGTCCGTGCTTATAACATAAGGCCAGGCAAGTGCCTGCTTAGGAGTTGGACATGAAACCCCCAGCCCTCCCTTCCCGTTGCCCTTCTGAATGCCAGCCTCCTCCCTCTCTGGCCCCCTGAGCACCCCTTCCAGGCCCTGTGAGGACCACATGGGATCCTAGGAATCCACTTGGCTAGAAGAGGAGTCCGGGAGCCTCCCCTCCCCGCCCCAGCAAGCCTCTTAGCTGCAGGCTGGCCTCGGTCTGGATGCCCCCTGATCAGGCAGTAATAAATCACCACCCAGAGGAAGGTGTGTGTGTGTGGGTTCTCTGGTGGGGGGTGAGGAGATCGGCAGTGGGCAGAGGAGGCTTTGTAAGCACCTGAATTCAAGTCTGTCTCTTCGAGGGTTTTGGTGCACGCCCCTTGCTTGCTCATGTGCGGTCCCTTGGTGTGGATGGCCATGCGCCCGAGGTGTACCTCCTTGTACTGATGCACCAGGTGTGAGGCGAACTTCATGCTGCTTGGCTTCTCTGGTTGAGCCTGGACCACCTCCGGAGACTGCCCGCAGGGCTCCTGATCGGGCAGCCAAAGCTGGAGCTCCTTCAGCTTCTCTTTCTTCTTTTCCTCCAAGTCCTCCAGCCTCCGGGCTTCACCAGCCATCGCTGCTGGGCTGGGGGACCCTGGGGATGTCAACTATAAATTGGCACTTGCCATGGGCACTGGCTGTCTACCTCTACAAGGATTAAATCATGTGCTGCTGCAGCTGCTGACCTTCAACATCCCCTGAAGGGAGTTCAGGGTGGAGATCAGGAATGGGGCCCTCTGCGGTCGAGGAAAACCTGGCAGTGCAGGTCCTCAGAGCGTTAGGTCTTTTCAGGAGCTTATTTTTATGAGCCCAGTTCTTGCATCTCCTCACATCTAGAAAAGCACTAAAATCCTTCATGGGGAGGTACGCTCCTCGTGACGAGCAGCATATACAAACCTGCAAATACAGGTTGCATGAACTCCCCCTTCATCAAAATCACATATATACTGACCTTCCTCTGTCTCTCTCTTTGGAGCAGTTTCTTAGCACTATCTGAAATGCTATCTTCTGGGCTGCAGTTCTTGTTTTGCCTTCAACAAAACTCGACTGGCAACTCTCAGGTCATGCGTTTTTGTTTTTTTTTTACCCAAGTCAGCAGGGGTGTTTATGGGAGGGGGTGGATGTTGGGTTGGTGAGGACAGTCAGGAAGGCAGAGAATAGTCACTTCCCTGACCCCTACCAATGCAGGACTCCCATGGGGATCACTGCTCTTCACCTGGCAAACTCCTATTCAGCATTTAGAATCAGTATTATAAAATCCCAGGGCATCTGCTGATAGACGATATTGGGAGAAGGGAGGGGAAAAGGATTGGGAGGAAAAGCCATAGGAAGAGGGGGGATCCACAGGGGGCCTGGGAGACACTGGAAGCTTCCTGGGTGCCAGGGTGGAGCGCGAGGTCAGTCAGGAGAGTGAAGGGACGGGGCTGGGATGGTGGGTGAGATGCGCTGGGTACTTACTGTTCTGTGTCCCTCGGAGTCTTCCTTCTCCTGGGACTTGGACACCTGGGACCAAGCCTTGATGTGGACAGGAGGTAGGGGCTTTCAGAGCCAAGGGTTGAGTTCAGAGCTGTCCGCCGCCCTCAAGTATCCTCAAATCTCTCCTGGTCCTGGGTCACTGACCCGGGAGAACAGTCCTCACCATGTCCGAGCAGGCATGGGAGTCACCAAAAAGACCCACTTGACAGTGTAGCCTGAGAGAGGGGGGTCAGGACAGGCATCTTCTGCAGCCTCTCAGTTTTCAGGGCTTCCGGAACCCCACTGCACATCCTGCCATACTAGGAGGGGCACCAGGGTGTGCTCCAGGCCCAGGGGGCTGCCTGCTTTGTGAGCAACTCAGCACGCAGCTAGTAAACATTCCTGCTTGAAAGCGGAGCAACCCTGCCGCATCTCAGCAAATCTGAGCTTCTGGGGAGTAGGTATGGACTTTCTTCCTTTTTTGTAGAATCCTCAGGGTTGGAGACCCCTGGTGGAGGCACGTATTACCTAACTCATTTCCTGTTGTGTAATGGTTTCTGGCCTTGGTTTGACCCGGGCTGGAGGGGACCAGACCTAAGGAGCTTCAAGCTGCCTGTTGGCCTGGACGCTGACCCCTTGTGTAACTGATACCTTTCTCTGAGCCTCAGCTTGCTCATCTATCAACTGGGACAGCATAGGTTTGCAAATAGGCTCCAATTAAATACTGGAGTGGGTAGGCTTTCCCTTCTCCAGCGGATCTTCCCAACCCAGGGATCGAACCCAGGTCTCCTGCAATGCAGGTGGATTCTTTACCAGTTGAGCCACAAGGGTGGCTCAAGCAAAAACTCTTGCTGCTGCTGCTAAGTCGCTTCAGTTGTGTCCAACTCTTTGTGACCCCATGGACTGCAGCCCACCAGGCTCCTCTGCCCATGGGATTTTCCAGGCAAGAGTACTGGAGTGGGTTGTCATTGCCTTCTCCCAAAAGCTCTTAGTAACCTTTAAAAATGTTATATATGAATGTTAGTTTTTTTTTAATGGTTAATGAGCATGGTGGACAACTGTATGGCATGAGGTATAGCCAGAGAGAAGTGTTGTCTTTTTTTCCCCTCCCAACACCAACTTTCTGGATACCAGCTAGGGTTCCTCCAACTCAATTAACTTCTTCCTTTCTTTTTTTTCCCCAAGATTTAAAATTTATTTTGGCGGCCCTGGGTCTTCGTTACTGTGCCTGGGTTTCTCATTGCTGTGGCCTCTCTTTTTGCAGAGCCTGCTCCCTAGCCACGTGAGCTTCAGTAGCTGTGGTTCCCAGGCTTTAGAGCACAGGCTCAGTAGTTGTGGCACATGTGGGCTTAGTTGCCCTGAGGCATCTGAAATCCTCCTGGACCAGGGATTGAACTCCTGTCGCGTGCATTAGCAGGCGGATTCTTATACACTGTGCCACCAGGGAAGTCCTCAATTCACTTCTGACACCAACTACCCAGAGTAAGTGAAGATGCTATGGTTGATGGGGCTCAGTCCCACAAGACCACCCCACCCCCCCTTCAGACACCAGTTGCAAATGGGGTTTCCTGGCTTCTCTGACTTTCTGTTTGAAGAGATTCCCCAGGACACCTTCTCAGGTTTGATCATTTGTTAGAACAACTCACAGAACTCAGGAAAACAATTTGGTTACCAGTTTCTCATAAAGGATACAAGTGGGGAATAGCCAGATAGAAGTGATACACATGGTAAAGTCGATATTTTTAAAAAATTTATTGACATTTTTAAAAGTTGACATTTTAAAAATTTATTTTTAATTGGAGGATAATTGCTTTACAATGTTGTGTTGGTTTCTCCCACACAATAACATGAATCAGACATAAGTATGCATGTATCCTCTCCCTCCCGAACCTCCTTGCCACCCCACCCCTCGAGGTTGTCGCAGAATACTGGATTGATCCCCCTGTGTTACACAGCAATTTCTCACTCGCTATCTATTTTACACGTGGTAATGATATGTTTCAGTGCTACTCTCTCGATTTGTCCTACCCTCTCCTTCCCGAGTGTCCACAAGTCCCTTCTGTGTGTCTGCATCTCTATTCCTGCCCTGCAAATAGGATTGTCAGTACCACTTTTCTAGAATTCATATATATCTGTTAATAAACAATATTTCTCTTTCTGACTTACTTAACTCTGTATAGTAGGCTCCCTATGCATTAATAAACAATATTTGTTTATCTCTTCCTGACTTACTTTGTATAACAGGTTCTGGATTCATCCAACTCAGTTCACCTGACTCAAATGCATACCTTTTCATAGCTGAGTATTATTCCATCAATACAATGGAATATGTACCACAGCTTATTTATCCATCCATCTGGGTTGAGAGGTTTCTAGAGAGGTTTCATTAGGTAGGCACGACTGATTAAGTCACTGGCCTTGGAGATTAATTTAATCTTCAGCCTTTATCCCTGGAGACCTGGACTATTCTGGGACCAGCCCTCATTCTGAAATGATCAAAGGGCCCCCACCCCGGTCACCTCACTAGCATAAAAAACACATATCACACAGAGGTGCCAAGGGTTTTAGGAGCTGTGTGCTGAGAACTAGATACAAACACCAAATACTTATTTATTTATTTTTCAGTTTCTTAAAAAATGTTTTTTTTTTATTGTAGTATAGTTGGCAGGCAATGTTGCATAAATTTCTGCTGTAACAGCCGTGAATGTTATACGTATATCTGCTGTTTTTAAGATTCTTTTCCCATATAGGCCGTTATAGAATACTGAGTCGAGTTCCATGTGCTTGCTATACAGTAGGTCATTATTAGTTTCTTTTTAAAATATTTATTTGTTTTGATTTATTTTGACTGTGCCAGTTCTTTGTTGCTGCTTGCAGACTTTCTCTAGTTGCAGCAAGTGGGGCTACTCTCTAGTTGAGGTGTGCAAGCCTCTCATTGTGGTGGCTTCTCTTATTGCAGAGCACAGGCTCTAGAAGGCAGGCTCCCTAGTTGTGGAGCAGGGGCTTACTTGCCCGAGGCATTTGGAATCTTCCCAAACCAGGGATTGAACTCATGCCCCCTGCATTGGCAGGCAAATTCTTAACCACTGGCCTGCCAGGGAAGTAGTATTAATTATCTTTTATTTTTATTATTATGTCATGGGAGGGCTTCTAGAATTCTGGGTAACATGGGAGACTCCAGGTCTTGGAGGCCAAGGCCAGGCAGAGGGAGGCTGATTGATGATGGAGCAGAACAGAGTTAGGTACTTTCTCGGTGTACCAGCTACTTCCCTTTGGCTGCCAGGTCATGTGTCCTGGGGTGTGAGCATGTGAGCTTTAGTGCTCCCAAGCTGTCAGATGTGAAGCTGAGAATCCTGGACTCATCCTTAAAGTCTAGCAGGTTGACAAGACCAGCAGACTGGGGGTGTGGAGGCCCAGGAAGTCTTCAAATCACACAGCAGGTCAGTGGGTAAGCTGGGGTGGGGGCCAGGTGTCTGGATACCCAGCCCAAGGATTTTTCCTCTTCCGGTGACTTCTGGGTCTGGGTCCTGAGGCTGGCTCGGCCACTAGCTGACTGTGACCTTGGACAATGCCTGTATCCTGTATGTAAAGTGAGGGAAGGACAACTAAGTCTCAATGTACTGTGATGGTTAAATGAACAATTGTGAATGTGCTGAGCACAGGACCTGGGACAGCAGAGGGTGGAGAACCCTGTCCCTTCTTCTCCTTAAGATCATCCATTCCTTGAAAGGAAGTAACTGAGTCTTGTCTTTTTTGTATCTAGAAAAGCAGCTCAATGCATTGAGTAGCACTGGTAGTCAGATAAATAGTGGACTTCTCTGGTGGCTCAAGGAGAAGGCAATGGCACCCCACTCCGGTACTCTTGCCTGGAAAATCCCATGGACGGAGGAGCCTGGTGGGCTGCAGTCCATGGGATTGCGAAGAGTCAGACACGACTGAGCGACTTCACTTTCATTTTTCACTTTCCACTTTCATGCACTGGAGAAGGAAATGGCAACCCACTCCAGTGTTCTTGCCTGGAGAATCCCAGGGATGGCGGAGCCTGGTGGGCTGCCTTCTATGGGGTCGCATAGAGTCAGACACGACTGAAGCGACTTAGCAGCAGCAGCAGCAGTTGGGG